TCACAATTTTCAAAGGCAAATTCTATAATAATCAAGATAGACACGTAAAACCAAAGTTAGATGCCAAGACTGCAACACCCACATTGAAATCCCTATACCATGAAACTCTTTTTCTTTTTCAAGTTATGCATAGTTTTCCTTCTTACCACTACTGAACATCCCTGAAAGATCAGGCAGAAAATGATGCTAACTGTTCCAACTTTATTTTCTCAGAGTGGTTATGCTCTTTGCGGACCAGCGCCTGGGGAAGCAGGTTGGTCCTGTCTCAGCACCAGGTCTCACTTGCTCTCTGCGGACCAGCGCCTGGGGAAGCAGGTCGGTCCTGTCTCAGCACCAGGTCTCACTTGCTCTCTGCGGACCAGCGCCTGGGGAAGCAGGTTGGTCCTGTCTCAGCACCAGGTCTCACTGCTGTCACCATGTTCCTCTGCTTCTCATTCTCCACTGGAGGGGGGAGTATCCCAAGAGGCACGATTCTCACATCCTGTCTTTCCTCATCTCTGTCTCTCAAGCCCACGAATCTTATTTTAAAATAATGGAAGTAAAGAAGGTCAGCCAATAAAAGTGCTCACCCCCAAACCTGAGGACCTAAGTTCAGGCCTCAGCACCCACATCAACTGACTCCTCTCCTCACGCACACAGACGTATGCTAAATTAATAGATGTAATGTCTAGTAAGCAAGGCACAAAAACCAGAAATAGAAAAAAAAAAAAAAAAAAAAAGAACTGTGACCCCAGGGTCAGCATGTTTCTCGGCCCTCTCTATGCACAAAGCTCATACAATAATAGAGTCTCCCCATCTCATAATACACTGCTTCAAGACTTTGGCTTTCCCAGTCTTGTTTACCCAAAATAAAATCTCACACCTGCAACTCAAGTCCAATATAAGAGCCTGATGAAACTGGAAGCAAGTATCATCTGAAGAGCTAGAAATACGAGAAGACACCTCATCTTCTAAATGCAGTCCCTGATCAGCCATAACAAACTGCTAGGTGTCTGGGTCCCTTTAGAGTTTCAGAGTAATGCTTGTCACTTGAGCATTAGCATTCTGAAGGTGCATGCAGTGAAAAATTGTGCAAATCTTACCTAACTATCTTAAGCCGCTAACAACTATGAGTCAGTCTAGCTGACAGAAGTTAAAAGCAAGGTTCCGTTTTCAATCTCACACTTGAGCAATGTTTTCTCGATTAAATGGTAAAAATCAAGAAATTAGCTAGTGAGCCAGGCATGGTGGTACATGCCTTTGATTCTAGGCCTTAGGAGACAGAGGCAGGTGGATCCCTATTTCTACAGAGCTAGTTCCAGTTCCAGGACATCCGGGCTACACAGGGAAACCATCAATATATAGATAGATAGATAGATAGATAGATAGATAGATAGATAGATAGATAGATAGATAGATAGATAGATAAAATAAGCTTTCCTTGAACAGGGAAACCATCTATAAATAAATAAATAAATAAATAAATAAATAAATAAATAAAGGAAATGAGCTTTCCTTGAAAACTAGAAAGTATCCAAGTTGCTAACTAGTCTTTGATTTTAAAAGTGTAGTTTGACACTGCAGAATGCTATGAGCTACAAATCGGTCTATCTTCCTTAATGACTTTTTGTTTTGAGACAGGGTTCACCTATGCAATACTGGCTGGCCTGGAACTCACTCACTATGTAAACTAAGCTGGTCTTACTGAACTCAGTGATCTGCCTGCTGGGCACCTAGTCAAATTTCCTTCCAATAGGTCTCCACAAGCAGTTACTAACAAAATTCTAACCAAAATTACCATGCACTTTCTCTATTTTGAGTAAAAGGTATTCCAAAGAACCTGTGTATATGTTGATACTCACATTTGTAAATCTGGATGTGAATAAAAATACTGATTTTATTACAGCAAATAAAAAGTATCTGAAATATACTTATTTAGATTTGGGATAAATACCTCAACCAAAAAAATTAGAATCAACTTTTAAATAATATTAAAAAACCATTATTACTTTACAGGCAAAATTTACCTAAGAATCATTACTTGTAAAAAATAAATTTAAGAATGACCCAAAGATTAAGACTATATAAAATGCCTAAAATGTTTAATGTAATCCCAGGACTCCAGAGGCAAAGGTAGGTGGACCTCTGTAAATTCAAGGCCAGACAGGTCTACGTAATAAATCAGTTCCAGGACAGCCAGGGCTACAAAGACCCAGTCTCAAAGGAAAAAAAAAAAAAAGGATTTAAATATAAACTAGTTCCTGCTTTCAAATACTAACTTGACATTTGTGAATGAAGATCAGCAACTGCAATTAACAAACTAGAAAGCTAGCCGTCTTCGCCAGTAACTAACTGCTGTCTGCTGAATTTCAAGGAAACCTATTGTTCATGACATTTTTAAAAGTGAACTCATCTACCCTCTCATCTCAGCATTTTCTCAATTTCCCATTACAATGAACAATGAAACTCAGCGGTCAAGTCTTCCAGACCAATAACCTCAGAATTTATTTTTAACTCCTGACTCCACAAATATTCCCCTTCAGTCCAGTCCAAAAGCCCTGCCAGCTTTTCACTCACAGCCTTCAAATCTGTTCCTTTCATCCCATTTTCACATTCCCCTTCCTGACTTATAACATCATCTGCAACCTCCCAGAAAGGCTTCTTATGTCTCTCCAAGTCACCTTGGAACATCCTGTTCAGCAATCCAGTTAGTGCAGATCGCTCTTAGATCCCCACCCAAATTTTTACAGGCCTCTTTTGTTCTTTATTAACTAACTTTCTAAGACTCAATGCCTAGCCCCTTCTTTGCCCTCTCAGGGAACACTGGACTCTGGCTGTCCCTTCTCCCAGCATCAGGGCATGCTTCTCCATCAGTTCATGGATACCAGCACCTGTCTAGAACTGGCCATCTCTAGAAACCTTCCTGCTCCAGCCCCTTTCCCTTTGTTCCTCTGAACAACTGATTCATTTTGCAACTTTATAACCTCGCAGTCATCATGTTATTGTCTTCACAGTTTTCTGAATGTGGTTCTGGGGACAAGGACTATGTCTTCTGTACCTGAGATTTTAAGAGTCCCTTTAGGAACAGCAGCACCCTAACAAATTCCTGCCTCTTTCATCTACATGTCCTTAACCTGAACGTCAAGGTTATTAATATATATATATATATATATATATATATATATATATATAATTAGCATTAAGCTCTTTCATATCAACATCTTTCTAATGTTGGCTGATAGGTAATACAAAAATTAAAACACTTTAAACTACACTCCTCAAATTTACTCCATCCCTAAAGACCTCTATCAAGAATTAACAAGTTGTTTTCAAGAAAAATCCTGAAAAAATATAAAAAGTTCCCAATTTCTGGTATTTTATTCTAGCATCACAGATCTCTGAAACCTAATAAATGGATTGCCTAGAACTAACTGCCTGGTTTAACTAACCAAAGCACACAGCACACACGGAAGCACCACCAAAAGCTCTTCTTCGGCAGCTATCATGAGGTCTTCAGAGCTGAAAATTACCCTCAAATTTTTAAAAATTCCTTTCAAATGACTCCACAAAGTGCTTAGAAAGCATGATTCTTCCCTGTAAGATGCAAATCAGCTTCCCCCTTTACATACCCTGCAGTCTAAACTAGCTAGTCACTGAAGGAAAGTTAACTTGCAAAAACATTTCCCATTCAGCCATTTCTTTGGACTCCCAGTTTCGGGCAAGTTCCAAAAGCCTACACGAACCGAAGTCTCGGGTGCAACAGAAAGGAATCGTTTCCGATTGCTTAATCAAATTCACACAACAGCACATACATTTTGACTTTTGAAAAATCTCAGTTCTCCAGTTAGCTCAGCTTCTCTCAGCAGCAAAGGGCTTTTGGGTCCTCATTCTTCCTTCTCACAGAATAAGGGAACGAGCTATTTTTGCCAGAATCTGCAAGGTTGCTGTCAAATAAGCTGTCATTAAATACCACATAAACATCTCCACAAATAGATCCATTTAAACGCTGGATACTCAGTATATCAAACACTTCAAGAACACAGACTTTCAACGCAGATAGATCCCCCGGCAAAAGACAGTGACAGATATTAATACATTTTAAATAATCCTAAAAGGGTATCCACTTGTACTCTAAAAATTAACAAGTAATGAATGCAATGACACCTCAAAATTAAACTTAAATGACAAGTCAGGGACAATTAGCACTTAACTTAGTATTTGATACAATGATACTACAATCTCAATCAAACGTTCAATCTACTTCCAAGTTACCTTTTGATTAAAACAAATTATATGGTGGCAGATTGGCCACGTCAAAACAGGAAGGTTAAGAGATAACACATTAGACCACTTATCCAATTGAAGACAATGCACTTAGAAATGCAACTGCTGGGATATTTATCTGGGGTATTTCTCAGCTTTTACCAGTCCCTAGTAGAGCGAGGAAGGGATGCCAGCTTTGCCTGCAGCGGGAATGTGGGTTACCAAGCAAGTCCATCCCCAGATTAAGAAATACTTTGTATAGTCACACGGGCAAAAAGAAATATTAGGAGCTTGGGACACTTAGTATCTGTTTAGAATACAGAACCATGATAACCTAGGCTAACTAAAATAACCTCCCTCATTCCAGAAGACACATACTCGGCAAATGTACATCATGGTTTATTAATCAAGTTTTGTCCTCCTTATTCAAAGGGATGGGCAAGTGAACGCTTCCGTCGCTTTTTTGACCTGGAGGCACAGGAGCGCTTGAAAAGGCAGCGAGAAGATAACGAGTTTCAAATTCGACCAGCCAAATAAAACTAATATTCTCTCAATTCAAGGTTAATGAGGCTGGGGGATGGGGTACGGACCTGGGAGGAGAAAAAGGAGATGCTTCGTCTCGACTCAAGGTAGGTTTTGCCCTTTTCCATTACCTCTGCTGTTTCTATCAGGTCTGTTAGTTTAAGGTCCTGGTATTTCGAGGTTTCTTATCTTAATGGTGAGGTGGAGAAAGGGTGTAAAATAAAATCGATACTCACTGCTAACTTTCATGCTACCAAAAGCTGAAGGCTGCTGCACTGGCTTGCAGCTCTCTGCAAAAGAGGTGGTTCTCGGTCGCCCCGACATGACGGCTCTTCTTGAATCACCTTTTCCTTCCTTAATCCTTTTCTTCCTTTTGTTTTATATTAGGGTGCTACGTTAATGATAAATGCAGCATTAAGTTCTCCCGCAAGAAAGAGAAAGAAAAAAAAAAGACTCCGTCCTCTTGGCTTTTCACTCCTTTTGTATAACTATTAAAAAAATGAGAGCGATGTATTTCTCCTTCAAGACAGATCAGTACGGATATTTAACACATAGATGATTTAGGGCTGGGGGAAAAAATACAATTCTTTCGCCTCCCTTTCGTGGGAGGGGAGAAAAAGGGTGGAGTGGAATCCTTAAAAATATATATATATATCACGTGAACGAGGGCAAATACTTGATTGAAAATAAGTACTCTGAGTATTATATTTTCCTCGGGGATTTTTTTCCGAGTCAATGAAGAAGGGAAGCGGCGGAAGGATCACGAGCCTCACGCTTGAAGAGAAGGGGGATGGGAAGGAGGGAGGAGATGGCTCGGAGATGCGACGGCAAACGCTGCGGCTCCGGCAGCAGCGGGATCCGGCGGACTGACGGCGGCGGCTGGGTGAACCGGAGGGCAGCGGAGTCGCGAGTCAGCGGCGGGCGGTGGCGGTGGCTCCTCTCCTCATTGCGCCAGGAGCAGCTGCAGGCGGTGGCTGGATCCAGCGGCCATGGCGGCGGCGGCGGCGGAGGCAGCTCCCTTCAGACCCCAGGCAGCGGCTCCTTGACTGCTCCCCATACGCCGGGGACATGGGAACCCGGCAACCGCTTCGGTCCCTCGGGGTCCCCTCCCCCGTCCGCGGCCGCGACACGGCCGGCCTCCGCCCCTCGCTTCTGCACAGCGGCTGCTCAGGAAGTGTCCGCGCTGTGCCCCGAGCCCGAAGCCCTGTCAGCGGCTGCAGGGCCGGCTCCTCCTCACAGCCTTCCTTCCTTTGTCACTCGGCCCAGGCGGCGGCGACGGCGGCGGCGGCACAAGTCCGCATTCGGCCGGGTCGGGGGCTGCTCTGTGCGAGGCGCGCCGTCTGCGCAGCCGCCTAGCCCTTCCCCACTCCCCCTCCCCCTTCCTACTCGTCCTCCGCCTCCTTCCTCCCCCACCCAGCCTTACACCGCCCAGCGCCCCGCCGCCCGCGTAACAGGCGTCTGGGAATCGCCCGCCGAGCCCGCGCCCGCCAGCTTCGGCTAGGAAGCCGAAGCCCAAACCGGAACCAATCAAAGACGTCGTTTGCTTGCGGCTCCTGCCGGAAAAAGCCGAGCGGCCTGAATAACCAATGAGAAAACGCCGCCGGGAGACCACGCCCCAGCAACGAGGAATGCCGACGGCAGCCGAAGCGAAGGAAGGTGGAATCGCCTCGCTCCGTGGCTGGCTAGAGACGAGATTCGACAATAGCAACAGTGGCCAATCAGAACGGCCGGCCCGCAGGGAAAAGCCTGAAGAGTTAAGGACGGCGAAACTCCCGAGTTGCGGGAGGAACTGCACGGCTGGGCGCCGCGCCCGTCTCCTCATTGGCTGAACAACTCCGCTGGGCGTGTACCTTTCTCCGTGATTGGTGAAGAGACGGGGGCTTCCGAGGACATCCGGCCAGTCAGAACTTCCCCTCCCTCTTTGAGGTGGGGAGAAGAAGAAAGCGGAGGGAGGGCGTCTATAAACTGCCATCTCATTGGTCTGCAGCGTCGAACTGAAGCGTCGGGAGTGGGGGGGGGGGGGAGGAGGGGAATGAGGGGTGCGCCTTGGCGAGAAAGGAGGGTGTAGGGGGCCCGTGGCCGCAGCCAATGGGTGCTCACTGCCGTGCCATCGCAAGACCTAGCTGCAGTGGGATTGGCCTCGGGTCGTCCCTGGAGCGGGCGGACGGGCTGACTGGTCGGCCGGCGTCTGCTCCCCGACAGGACGCTCTTGCCGGCTGTGCAGCCGGTGTGAAAGTGCTGCGGTCGGCGGGCTGCACTCGGAGCGCTCGAGCGGGGCGAGGGGCCGTCCCCATCCCCCGGAGCTCGGCGGGGCGCGCCTAGACGCGTGCTGAGCATCTGAGCCCCTCTTTCCCCCCCCCTCAAAGGCTTAGAGCCGCCGTGGCTTGGGGGTCGAACCCTCTGGCGCCCAAGTAGGAACAAAGCATCCAGAGAGGCAGCGCCTCTGGGCGGCCGCGCCCGCCCATCGCGGGTGGGACCGCTGCTAACACGGGGCCCTTAGCGGCAGGCGCAAGCAGCCAGGCCCGACCTTCTGGAAACGCCCCCGAGAGATGAGCTCATGCTAGATGCGCGCGCTCCTTGGGCGCGACTGCCCAGCTCAAAAGCAACCCCGAAAACAGGTGAGGGGAAATGTGGTCAGACCCAGTTACCCCGAAGCCTCCGAGGAAGCGGGAGTCAGAATTGCTCGTAGCAGTTTTTCGTCTTTTAGGTGATCTGCACACTGCTGCTTAAGTAGGTTTCACACGTAGTCCAGCGTCCATTGTTCTACAAGGGAACAATTGCCTTGGTCCATCCGAGAGCTGTGTGGTGTGGCTACAATGACTAGAGTAAGTTAGAGTGGACACTCGCAACCCGGATTGGAATCCCGTGATGCTTGTAATATCCACCTGCATAGTCATCTCTTTCTATCGTTCCGACGCTATCTCCAGAAAGCACATGTAAAAGTACACGTACTTGATCAGATTACCTAGCTGTTGCTTTAAAATCTGATGAGGGACTTGGGTCAGAACAAAGTAAGCTTTGATGGGAGACGGTAAAGGTCTGGATAGTGTTTGCAGACTCAGATGTCTACAGAGAGCTTGACAACGCGGATGAATGAGACTGGCCTGGTAGAAGACAATGGGAATGTTAGGCTATGTGGAAACGGGTGTATCCATCCATGCCCTTCAGGAGAGCAGCTGCTCAGCTTTAGCAGATTATTGCCTTATAGGAACGTTGGTCCACCACTGAGATAATCGTATTCTCCTTTTTTGTTACCAAAACCATAACGTTGGGTTTTTCTATGAGATCTTTAAATCTTAAGTGTTGGCCACCGGAATGTCAAAACCGTGTAGCCCAAAGGAAAATCCCGGAAAACATGTGCCCAAGAGGCAATCAATTTGTAAAGTCATCCCTTAGCATAGTTTTGATAGCCCAAAAGCGGTAGAGGCTCTTGCTCTTCACAATTAAAATAGAATATAAGGTCACTGGATGCCATGGGGAGGGTAAAGAATGTTGCCAAGCAAACGCCTTGCTTGGCAACTTTCTCATTTGAATGGTGCCTCTCCGTGCTACTATGAAAAAAAAGACCTTTGCCACTGTTCCTAAAATGCTTCTATGCAAAACTTTAAATCCTTCCTACCTAATTATACCAACAGCAAAGTAAATAACAAATGTTTAGTTTATAGAAACTGGCAGCATGGCTGTTCTTATATATAGAACTAGTACAAAAATAGTCTACCTTAAGGTTAGGATTAGTAACTTTTCTGTTGCCTTCACATATTTTTAACTCGTGAGTTTTAAATCTGCCCAAGGTTTCTTTTTTCACAGGGAAGAAAAAAAAATACACATTCCAGTCCACAAATAGGACTTGGGGAAGGAAAAGTTTACTTAATAAAACGGAATGACCTGGTGTGGTGACACACACTTTTAATCCTAGTTCTGCAGAGGCAGGTAGCTCTCTGAGTTTAAGAGCAGCCTTGTCTACATAATGAGTTCCAGGCAGGGGTGGAAGGGCATGGAGACCACAAAAATATTGAAACTTAACATGCAGTCGTGGTTTTCTGAATCTTAGCACCTCTTACTTTACCTTCCTATATGGTGGGAACTCCTGGGCATAGTATTAGTGTACCCAGATAATGCTTTCAAATATTTTTGTACGCACTATCTCACATAAAAAAAAATTTTTTTTTACAGTGATGGGCATGCCAAGGAAACATTCTACCACTGAGCTACACCCCAGCCTGCCACTTAAATAAAGTGTTATTTTCAGATTGAGTCAACCGAGGTCTTGAAAGGTGGCTCATTTTTCCAGGATCCACAGAATTAACCGAGCAGAACCAGTGTTCACATCCCTTCTTCTTAGCCTCCACGGTTCTCTACTCCACAGCTCTCTCCTGACACAGTCCCCACGTCTCCTAGGGTCTGGTAAAGGCACTCACTTTACAAGCCTGATTACCTAAATTACATAACTAGAATCCATCTGACAGTGGAAGGAGAAGCCCAAGTCCATGACATTACCCTCTGGCCTCCACATGAGAACACCGTGGCACACACCACTCCCAATAATAATAATAAAGGACAGGTCTCTCACTAAACCAAGAGCTCACCAATATGGCTAAACTGGCTGGCCATTGACCTCTGAGAATCCACCTGCCTGTCCCCCCAGCTTTAATGTGGGTTCTAGAAATCTGAACTCGGGTCCTCATGCTTGCACTTTACCCACTGAGTCAGATCTTCAACCCTAAAATACCTAATTTTATTTTCTTAATTATTTTATGATTCAATGTGTATGGGTGTTTCCTCTGTATGCTTGTCTGTGCTTGGTGCCTACAGATCTATCATCAGATCACCTGGACCTTAAGTTACTGACAGTTGTGAGCTGCCATGTAGGTGTTGAGCAGTCAGTGTTTTGGGGTCTTTTGTTTTGTTTTCTAGACAGGGTTTTTCAGTGTATCAGTCCTAGCTGTCCTGGAACTAGCTCTTGTAGACCAAGCTTACCTCGAACTCATAGAGATCCGCTTGCCTCTGCCTCCTGAATACTGGGATTAAAGGTGTTTGCTACCACTGCCCAGCACAGCCAGTTAACCAACTCTCCAGCCCCCAAATACCTGATTTTAAAAATTTCTGTTTATACTCAGGCAGTGATGGTGCACTCCTTTAATTTCAGTACTTGGGAGACAGGTAGGAGACTATCTATGAGTTCAAGACCAGCCCTGTCTACAAGCGAGTTTCAGGACAGCCAGGACTATTACACAGAGAAACCCTATCTCGAAAAATGGGAAGAAAAAAAAAAGACAATGAAGGATTAGGAGGTGTAGCCTTGGAGGAAGTATGTCACGGGTCAATTTTGAGGTTTCAGAATCCCAAGCCAAGCCCAGTGGCTCTCTCCATTCCTGCTG